TCTCCACAGTGTTCCGCAATGCCGTATCATGTTAATGCCCCCAAGTCAGTACTAAGGGACTGATACCTTAGAAGCATACATGGAAGGCAAGACGAAATGCAAAGACGTCTCCCTGGAGTAGCCCCAACCCCCTCTGCAGTGATACCCACCCCCCTTCCGGCCTGTAAAAGAGCCTTGCTATCTCCACCACTCACTTCCGTTTCATCACTTCAAAGACGGGCGGTGACATTTCAAAACCCAGATGATAAGAATTCACAACTAGCGAAAGGCACAGCTGAGATGGAGCCCACACATTAATACTCACCCCACCCGCACCTTTCCCCAGTAGAGTTCAGGAGGAGGCATGGCATGGCCCCTTCTGTTACTGGGAGCGGGGGAGAGCCAGGAATTACCCAGCTGCTTCCTAGCCTCTCCTCTCCCCTTGCTAGTGGGTAGAGTACGCCAGCCTCTACCAGCTGCTCATCACAAAGTCTGAAAAGGTCTCAGAGACCCTGGGTGCTGCCCTTGGCCCAGCGCAGCCTTCGGGGCAGCTGCTTGTCTATGTGGTTGCAGGTTCGGGGTCACCCATTTCCCAGGGCTCGGCACCATGACATTTCCCCTGGTCCCCACAGCACACGCATCCAACACGCATCTCTTGGAGTCGCATGCTGCCCCGTTCACCCACCCAGGTTAGTTCCTTCCCTTGCCTTGGGAGAGGGAAGCCTTCCACTCCAATGAATGTTCCGAGCAGTCGCTACAACTTCCCATCAAAACAGACCCAGTGGGTCCCTCCACGTCCCATCATACTAACAAGACGGCCAACGCTGACACGCATGTGCTCCTGAGGGAACCAGCGTTACCAGGCCCAATGACAAGAGGGAGGCACATGCCCCAAATCTCGGACTCCAAGCACTGGCTGAGAGGGCCCTGTCCCAGAGCCCCCTTCCTCCTCAGGAAGTACCCACCATTCCCCAGCTCCTCCTCTCCAGGTAGGAGTTAGAGGTGGCTGAGGGGCCAGCAAGTCATTTCTGGGCAGCAGACAGGGGCTCCATGGTTCAGCAACCACTACCTAGCAAGTCCAAGGACAGTCCAGGCCTATATGAAGTAATGAGGTCCCCTTGCCCCGCCTCACCTTCCCCTGGAGGACAGAGCTGTTTTTCAAAGATTATAGCAAGCTTAAAGACTGTCCCAAATTCACCTCTGCAAGGGTTTTCGCCATCTTCTTTTTCCCCCGCTTTTAACCTGGTGGCAGGAAGGTAACTAAGACTCTAACATCTCTCCTTTCTTTCTCCCCCTCTCTCCTCTCTCTCTCTCTCTCTCTCTCTCCCCTCTCTTCTCTCTCTCTCTCTCTCCCTCCTCTCTCTCTCTCTCTCTCTCTCTCTCTCTCTCTCTCTCTCTCTCTCTCTCTCCCTCTCTCTCTCTCTGACATAGCTGTTTCATCTGAGAAGCCTAGAAATACTGGCTAAGAGCCCTCTGGAGGGCTGGGGGTGGTGGCTCAACGGCACAGCATTTGCTTGGCATGCATGAAGCCCCCATTCCATCCACAACAACAGAACAGATAAAGATCACGGGGACAGCGGGCAACGCTTTCCTGGTTAGCGAGGCTAATCCTTGCCTGAATAAAATGCTAATCTGTGATCTTGGACTTCACCCCCTTCAGAGACTCAGAGCTAGAGAGGTGTGGTAGGGTACTCCTGGGAGCCCAGCACTTGGGGAAGCAGGTGCAAGAGGCTTTGGGCTACCGGCCTAGCTTCATTACCGTTGCTATGACAAAATACAGTTGGGCGTGGGGGAGTAACATAGGAAAGAAAAGGATTTATCCTAGCTTACAATTGCGGGTCACCATCCACATTGTCAGGGAGTCAGGGAATAACTTCAAACACGTCCTCAGGCAGCCAGGAGCGAGACAAAGGAGCTTAGCGTTCTCGCTGGCTGAACGGGCTCACACGAGCACCCCCTGATTAGAGAATGGTAACACCAACTGTGGGCTAGCTCTTCCCACATCAATTAAGACAACCCTCCGTAGGTACATCCACAAGCCAACCCAGTGTAGGCAGCCTCTCACCGAGAGTCCCTTCCTCGATCTAGGTTGTGTCCAGAAGACAAAGCTAACCCTCCCATGCAGGTGGAGAAACCCTGCAGAGGGGAGGGACTCTGCTTCAGCTGAAGTAACCCAGCCTTGCTTGCATTTGTTACTCAATATGGTATGGATCGTGCCGAGAGGCTTGAGAGCGTCAGAGAAGTTAACTATTGTCCTGCACATCCACAGTTCACGCCATGGTTGTGTGGGGTAGATTATGTCACTTGACAAAGGGCAGAAAGTCAGCGGACTCTCCGGTCCCCAGGTCCTCAGACCAGCCAGGAGTCAGGGTTGGACCCAGATGCCTGGCGTAGGGCTTGAGCTTGTACCCATGGGCTCATTTCATAATGGCGTCCTATAAAACCCCAAACTGGTCAAGAACTGGCAGCCCAATTCCTACACAGTTACAGAAAAAAATATCAAAGCACACCCCTTAAAGTTGCATTATCTCCAATATGAATTTAAATAAGACAAACATATTAATATGGTTGTTATTAAAATTTTAACTAGAGACTGAAACAAAGGCACAAAAGAAGCTTGAGGGGCCACGTGCAGCCAAAAGCTCTACCCACGGTTTTCTATGCCTGATTCAACCTAGGGCCTCCTGCACTAAGTAAGCTGTCTACCACTGAGCTACACCTTCGGGTGGGGGCGGGGTGGAGACTGTTCAAGGTTCTTTTCTGTTGCTGTGATAAAACCAGTTTAGGGGAGGAGATAGAGGGGTGGAGAGAGTTGATTTGACTTACACTTCGGGTCACCATCCACCACTGAAGGAAATCCGTGCAGGAACTCTGCTTCCCGGATTTTCTCTGGCTTCCTCGATACCCTAATCAAGGCTCACCTGCTTAGGAATGGCACTGTCCACAGTAGGCTGGGCCTGTCCACATCAATTATCAATCAAGATAATCTCTCCCAGATGTAGCCACAGGCCAGCCTGATGTGGGCAATTACTCAAATGCTAACCCCTCGCCCCAAGTGAGGCTAGGTTGTGCCAAGTTTACAATAACAAGCAAGGGACCCAGTGGTTTGGGGTACTGGTTGCTCTTGCGGGAGGACCCAGATTTGGTTCCCAGCAGCTTACCACTGTCCATAGAACCCAATACCCTCTTCTGGGCTCAGCAACACGGTACCATGGGGCACACAGACACAGATGCAGGCAAAACATCCATATACATAAAATAAAACATTTATTTTCTTAATTAGATAGCACAGAGACAGAGCCTCATTCTGTAGGCTATACTGCCCTTGAATTCATGGTCTTCCCACCTTAGTCTCCCAGACACTGTGATTATAGGTGAGTACCACTAGACTCTCAGCCCTGAACCTGAGCCAAACAGCTTCAGTCTGCATTGTGACAGAATTGTATACATGGTAATATATAATGAATTTCTCTTTTATTAATGGAATTAACTGTATTAAGTGTGTGTGTGTGTGGGCATGGTTGCATGGGAGCCATGGTACCACATGTGAAGTTCAGCTCTCTCCTCCCACTATGTGGGTGGGTCCTGGGGACTGAACTCACATCCTCTAGCTTAGCAGAAAACACCTTATCCCACTGAGCCGTCTCGCTAGCCCTTGTTAGTTACTCTTGTTAGCTAGCAATGGTCCAGGTTTCTGACTTGTTCCCAACTCTGGATGCTTTCTATTGGCAGAGTTACATTCTTCTTCATATGGTTAGGTCTTTTTTCGTAGTTCTTTTCTAACTCTGAAATTTCTTAACACTGTGGCGATGTCCTGTTGCCTAGAATAACCTTGACTCAAAATGTTAAAGTATTTCATTTCCCTAAAAGGAATTGTAACTCAATGGTGTTTGGCATTAGGTACATTATTTATGGTGGAAAACTGGGTGTTGAAAGATGGCAAAGGAGTCTATAAATAAGGATGGGAAAACACAGTCCCCGAGAGAGAGAGAGAGAGAGAGAAATAAGGGAAGCCCTAATTATAGAGACTGCCTTTCTGGTTCTTGACGCGATTCACATCTGTGTCCCAGCTGTAGTTGGCCTTGTTGCTGGGGGACTTGTGCTGCTGCTACCTGAGACCAAAGGGAAGACTCTGCCTGAGACCATTGAGGATGCCGAGAACATGCAGAGGTAGGTACGTGGGCTCCCTGAATGAACTCCTGCATAGACGCTTAGGCAATTCTGGATGCACCTGGGGAGAAAGATTAGGTTGAACCCAGATCTCCTATCATGTGATCAAGGCAAGCTCCAGCAAAGCATCAGATAACAAAAAGAGACAAGAAGTAGTGAAAATATCATGGGAGGATTGGTTATAGTTCACACCTTCAAAATAGATAGGATCTGCCTAGATGTAACAAGAAAGGGAGGAGGGAAAGAGAGAGAGAGAGAGAGGGAGGGAGGGAGAGAGGGAGGGAGGGAGAGAGGGAGGGAGGGAGGGAGGGAGGGAGGGAGGGAGGAAGGAAGGAAGGAAGGAAAAAAGGAAGGAAGGAAGGAAAGTCTAGAGCCTATAGGAGAAAAACTAGTCTGTCTGCATTCACAAAAATTAATGAAGAATTAAAATGCTGTCATCACTGGGAAATCTGGATGAAGTGTTTAGTACTATACAAAGGGCTGGCTTTCTGATCATGTGTGGGGGACTCTAACACTGCTACACAAACAGTTGCCCAAAAGCAGGAGACAGAGGTGGCTGGGCAGTTGACTCAGCAGAAAGGAGAGTCCCACCACCTCCTTCACAGCCACAAGAATGTGAACTGACCAGGCACTGGCATTCCTCTGGGTCATGAGAGATCAAACTACCAGGAACACACTGTATCGGGGAAGAATATGCAGGACCCACGTGACTATGAACCATGCACTGAAACCCCAGAGAGAGTCATCCTGCCTTGTCCCCAGGCACCACCTCCTGACATTTACATGTGGCTAGGACTAATCGATAAAGCACCTTTTAATGCAGCAAAGAAAGCATCTTTTAATGCAGCAAAGGGTTAGGCACAACCTAAATGCCCTTCAGTTGGGAATCCAGCTGAATAAATTATTATATGCCATACAATAAAACACTACATAGCCATTTTTATTAAAAGGAAAAACAAGAAAGACAGTTTTATATCCACTGATAAGAAAAGTCATCGAAAAATACATTGTTAGTAGGGGGAAAAGACCAAAACATAGAAAAGTACTCATTCTACTATTTGTGTAAATAAGACATAAATACATAGACATACAAATATAGAATAGTATTACAAATGAAATGACAAGATCACAGAATCATTCAAATATCCTCCCTTATCTGTGGTTTTTATTTCCATCTTTTCAATAACCCATGGTCCTTCGGCTTCCATTGGAGTTTGGAAATGTTAAATGCAAAATTCTACAAAAAAAAAAATCTACATATGATTTTATGCCGCGCACTTCTCTGAGTGACGTGATAAAATCTTGCCTGTTTGCCCCTGTCACACTCATGACAAGAGTCTTTCCTTTGCCTGGTGTACCCACGCTGTATGTGCTACCTGCCCATTAGGCCCTCAGCAGGCCTCCTGGTTACCTGTTGGACTGCCAAGCGATCCCTGTACTTGTGTACACAATCTTCTTTTTTACTTGACCATGACCCAGAGTACAAGAGCAGTGCTACTGATGGCTCACACTTGCCAGACAGAAACTTTATGCGAAGGCAAACCTTGATAAAGACGGAGAAAATTTTATCTGTTCAGTGTGTTACACAACTGGCCCCGGGGCGGCATGCTGCTGAAGCCCGTGGGTCCGAGGCTTTCTCTGGTACTGCTGTTGAGAATACAGGTCTCAGCTGAGCCCGATGTCACATGTTGGCAGCCATGGGACACCTAGCTCTTTTTCTGGCCACGTGATCTTTCCTAAAGTGAGAAATGCTGCACTCCCAGGATCTGGGTGTGGGAACAGGCATTTCCTCTTGTTGACAGTTTGCGGGAGCTGAATGGTGGCCGGCTCTTTGGTGACCCTGTTGCTGTTGCTGATGCTGCTGTGGCTGTTACTATTGCTGTTGCTATGGCGGCAGATGCTGTTCTTATTGCTGCTGCTGATGTTGCTGCTCACTGTATTGGGTGCTGCTGCGACTGTTGCTGTTGCTGCTGACACTGTTGCTGTCACTGTTGTCACTGTTGCTGTTGCTACAGTTACTGTTCTTGTTGCTGTTGTTACTGTCACTGTTCTTACTGCTGTGGCTGTTGCTGTTAATGCTGTTACTGTTTCTATTGGTGTTGCTGCTGTGACTGTGGCTGCTGTGACTGTGGCTGCTGTGACTGGCTGCTGCTGTGACTGTGGCTGCTGCTGTGACTGTGGCTGCTGTGACTGTGGCTGCTGCTGTGACTGTGGCTGCTGCTGCTGACACTGTTGCTGTCACTGTTGTCACTGTTGCTGTTGCTACAGTTACTGTTCTTGTTGCTGTTGTTACTGTCACTGTTCTTACTGCTGTGGCTGTTGCTGTTAATGCTGTTACTGTTTCTATTGGTGTTGCTGCTGTGACTGTGGCTGCTGCTGTGACTGTGGCTGCTGCTGTGACTGTGGCTGCTGCTGCTGTGACTGTGGCTGCTGCTGTGACTGTGGCTGCTGCTGTGACTGTGGCTGCTGTGACTGTGGCTGCTGCTGTGACTATGGCTGCTGCTGTGACTGTGGCTGCTGTGACTGTGGCTGCTGTGAATGTGGCTGCTGTGAATGTGGCTGCTGTGACTGTGGCTGCTGCTGCTGTGACTGTGGCTGCTGTGAATGTGGCTGCTGTGACTGTGGCTGCTGCTGCTGTGACTGTGGCTGCTGCTGCTGTGACTGTGGCTGCTGCTGTGACTGTGGCTGCTGCTGTGACTGTGGCTGCTGCTGTGACTGTGGCTGCTATGACGGGCTGCGGGACTGTGGCTGCTGTGACTGTGGCTGCTGCTGCTGTGACTGTGGCTGCTGTGACTGTGGCTGCTGCTGTGACTGTGGCTGCTGTGACTGTGACTGCTGCTGTGACTGTGGCTGCTGCTGTGACTGTGGCTGCTGTGACTGTGGCTGCTGTGACTGTGGCTGCTGTGACTGGCTGCTGCTGTGACTGTGGCTGCTGCTGTGACTGTGGCTGCTGTGACTGTGGCTGCTGTGACTGTGGCTGCTGCTGTGACTGTGGCTGCTGCTGTGACTGTGGCTGCTGCTGTGACTGTGGCTGCTGTGACTGTGGCTGCTGTGACTGTGGCTGCTGTGACTGTGGCTGCTGTGACTGTGGCTGCTGTGACTGGCTGCTGCTGTGACTGTGGCTGCTGTGACTGTGGCTGCTGTGACTGTGGCTGCTGCTGTGACTGTGGCTGCTGCTGTGACTGTGGCTGCTGTGACTGTGGCTGCTGCTGTGACTGTGGCTGCTGTGACTGTGGCTGCTGTGACTGTGGCTGCTGTGACTGTGGCTGCTGCTGTGACTGTGGCTGCTGTGACTGTGGCTGCTGCTGTGACTGTGGCTGCTGTGACTGTGGCTGCTGCTGTGACTGTGGCTGCTGCTGTGACTGTGGCTGCTGCTGTGACTGTGGCTGCTGTGACTGTGGCTGCTGCTGTGACTGTGGCTGCGGTGACTGTGGCTGCTGTGACTGTGGCTGCTGCTGCTGTGACTGTGGCTGCTGCTGTGACTGTGGCTGCTGTGACTGTGGCTGCTGCTGTGACTGTGGCTGCTATGACTGTGGCTGCGGTGACTGTGGCTGCTGTGACTGTGGCTGCTGCTGTGACTGTGGCTGCTGCTGTGACTGTGGCTGCTGTGACTGTGGCTGCTGTGACTGTGGCTGCTGTGACTGTGGCTGCTGTGACTGTGGCTGCTGCTGTGACTGTGGCTGCTGCTGTGACTGTGGCTGCTGCTGCTGTTTCTGTTCTTGCTGCTGCCATCACTGTCGGTGTCACTGTTACTGTTGTCGTTGCTGCATTTCCTGTTGCTGCTGCCATGACAGCTATTGCGGTTACTGTTGACATTAATGTGTTTGCTGCTATGTTTTCTCCTTTGTTGTTACTGCTGCTCTTTATGCTGCTGCTACTGCGGCTGCCGTTGCTGTCACTCATGTTAATGCTGCTTCTACTGTTGTTAAAGCTCCTGTGCTGCTGCTGCTGTCACTCATGTTAATGCTGCTTCTACTGTTGTTAAAGCTCCTGTGACCTTTTATGCAGTGCGTATTGCGTATGATGTTCTTCTTGATGTCCCTGCTGTGATTACTGCTGTGGCTGTCATCTTCAGTGGTGCTGATGTTGGCATCCTTGCTTCTTTGCTGTCGCTGTTCCTACTGTTGTTGTCAATGCTGCCACTAACACTGTTCGTGCTACCATTAGTTTTGTTGCTGGGATTGTTGCTGTTGCTTCTGCTGTTCACAATGCCACCGGTGTTACTACTGATGCTGTTGTCGCCGTTGCTGTCATTGCTGTTGCCACTGATGATGCTACTGCTGTTATTTCCATTATTTTTGCAACTCCTCCTGCTGTTTCGTTTTTTTGTTTGTTTTTTTTTTTTTTTTTTTTAATTGCTGCTGCTGTTACTCTTAGCTCTGGCACTGCTATCAATACAGTTGCTGATGTTGCTGCTGTTACTGTTACTGCTGTTGTTGTTGTCCGTGCTGTGGCTGACATGGCCGCTCTTGGTGTTGTTATTAGTGCCACTGCTGACACTGGCACTTAGCTCTCAATGTCGTCATCGTTGTTGTTACTGCTGGTGACACCGCTGCTGTCGCTGCCGTCCATGCTCCCGCCATTGCTGTGGCTATCACTGATGCTCTGTGGTTGAGCCTGGAGACTCTGGCAGCTCAGTGCATCTGCGTGCCCCCCCCCCTACCTGGAGCCTAGGAGGCCTACAGCACTGCAGGGTGATTTGATGAGATTCTGTTACCCACATCTCAGATGGGACTGGTGTAGAAACGGACCGTGTGGGGAAACGTAACTGGGGCAGCCCACACCTGACCCAGTACAAAGACGACTTCCCCGCCTGTCTAATTTGATTTCCTATTGCAGGCCAAGAAAGAAGAAAGAGAAGAGAATTTACATCCAGGGCAAGAAAGCAGATTTCCAGCTAAGCTAAGGAGAAAGGGTGTGGTCGCTGCCGGACCGGACCGGAGGCAGAGACTCTCCCCACATCACAAACCCACGCAACCCAACCGCACTCACCCTTGAACTCCATCTGCGGGGAGCCACAGCTGCACGGTTTGTTGAGCTGATGTGTCAAACTCTACCGCCGGCCAGGACCTTCCTTCTCACACTGTCCTCGGCAGTCCCGGGAAAAGGCTCATTGCTTTACTGGATTTGGTTTTTCCATCTTTACAGTTCTTTATTTGGGTTCTTTTCCCACCATGACATCAACCGAAAAGGCACTCGGGAGCTGTGGGTCAGGGAAACCAAATATTAAAAAAAAAAAAAAAAAACGAAAATCGGAAAAACGATAAACTTGAGAGAGAAAATAATTTACTTTTTTTTCAGAAATAAACTCAAGGCAGTATCACAGAACGTGCACAAGAAGCTTGGAATGGGGCCTTTCAGTATTATAAACATGATGAAATTTCAAAATGTGTTGTTTACTATGTGGCTCACACTTAAAAAGGATCCCAAACCAAAGGAGGAGAATATAGTTGAGCTATCAGTAAGTGCGACCATATTGGCAGTAGATGAACACAAACACATTCCTTCTGTAACAGACCTGATGGAGAGCGCTGTAGGAGTATTCCAGACATTACTGCATTGCTGAATCAGCTGTGACAGGAGTTTTCACTTCGGTAAAAATTTTCCTCAAAAGTAACGGACCTTAAAAATGGCATTACTAGAGCCAAGTGTGGTGGCCTTTAACCCTAACATTCGGGAGGCAGAGGCAGGAGGATCTCTGTGAGTTTGAGGCCAGCCTGGTCTACAGAGCGAGTTCCAGGACAGCCGGGGCTAGTCACAGAGAAAGCCTGATTCGAAAAACAAAACAAAAGAAATGGCATAAAGAATCTTACCAAAGTTTTAAAGAGAAATACCATGCCTGGGGAGATGGCTCCGCCAATGAAGACGCTTGACTTACAAGCCTGAAGGGCTGAGTTCAATCCCTTCCCCAGGGTGAGGGGCAGAATTGTGCTCTTGACAACTCAATGCTGGGGGGGGAGGGGGCGACAGGCAGGATTTTGGGGCTCACTAGTCAACTAGCCTAGCTCACTTGATAAATTTCAAGTCAGTAAGAGACCCGATCTCTAAAAAAGAAAGTACAAGGAGGCGGGAAAGATGCTGCAGAGCCAAAGGCGCTTGCTTATCTTGCAAAGAGTCCCAGTTTGATCCCCACCACCACCACCCTCCACGCATGTGCCATGGCAGCTCACAGCCATCTGTAGCTCCGGTCCCTGGAGACCCAATGCCTTCTTCTGATCGCCACACTCACCGGGCATACACAGGTACATAGACACAGATAGAAGGAAAATACCCATGCACATAAAATAACTTTTAAAACATGCAATTACAAAACTTAGAAATGGGCAGTTACACCAGGTGGCGGTAGATCACGCCTTTAATTCCAGCACTCAAGAGGCAGAGGCAGGTGGATCTCCGTGAGTTCCAGGCCAGTCTGGTCTACAGAGTGAGTTCTAGGACAGCCAGAACAGTCATACAGAGAAACCCTGTCTCAAAACAAAAAAAGAAAGAAAGAAAAGAAAAGAGAGGGAGGGAAGGAGGGAGGAAGGAAGGAAAGAAAGAAAGAGAGAGAGAGAGAAAGGAAGGAAGGAAGGAAGGAAGGAAGGAAGGAAGGAAGGAAGGAAGGAAGGGTGGGCTAATTACAAAATGTGCATAGTCAGTGTTAATGACAGAAATGCAGATTAAAACTGAAATAAAACTCTTGACATCAAATCAGTAAAACAAAGTTAGCAATAATGAGCACAGATAATCTACTCCATGCATTTCTCACTAAAGTAGCCAATAGGATATTCTTTCAGGGCACAGCTTGGCAACGTCTGTCGGTATCACAAACGTATGTGTCTGATTCTGCAGTGTCGCCTCTGTTATTATCTTTGATAAGTGAAACTCTGCACGGAGAGGCAGTTCAGAAATGCCACTGCTTGTAGGTGATGGCAAAAATAAGAAGTAACTCAAGTTTACGGATATGAAGAATGCTTATATAAGTCCTGGCATCGCCATTCATCCGTTAAACAGAGCAGGAGAAAGACCAATAGAAAGTTCCAGCATGATGGACAGGTGCTAGACAAGTAATGTAGGAGTTAAGAATGCCCACCTACCTGGTGACCCATGGAGAAGGCAAGATTTTATATATTTTTGCAATAACTGCATCTTGTGTGTTCATACATGCCCTGGTTAAAAAACAAAAAAAAAAACCTCACAGGTGACTTGCTTTCCTTGAGTTCAAGATTTCAGGTCACCGTCCATCTTTGGAGAGATGCCAAAGTGGGATGAGCATTAAGAGCCAGTCACATCCACCATGAACAAAAGCTGGGATTTTGCGTGTCCTCATTTACTTACACATTTCTATTGGTTTGTAGCCACTGAGTGTTTAAAAACACGTTTAAATTAAATGATCACAAAAGTGGAACTCATCTTTACATGCATATTGGATCCACTTAGAGAACACACCGGGTCACATTACACAGTGAGAGAATGTGAATCCAGACATCCTCCCTGGGGCAGCCTGGGGGTGGCTGCCTGGCTGGGAGACACCACCTCACCCACGGGTTTTACACAGTATCTGACCTGGAAGCAATGAAGCCCAGGGATGTGGACCTCTGTACAACACAAAACAGAATTAGCCCTCATCGATGATGAGGATGACATATCCAAGCCTGTTTCCCTTTGCACAATTGGTGGGCCTGAGCTAAGACCGCTGGTCCCCAGGGACTCTGAATTAACTTCTGGCAGCTTCCCTCCACTAAGGCTGGTAGACGGAGGGGTCTTGGGCTCACCTAGACCTTCAGACATCTTGCTCATGTTCCCTCAAGGCAGAAAGATACACAGGATTATGCCCATGTCAGTGTCATTCCAGCTGGGCATACTTTAGCCTTGTGTGGTAGCTGGGTCCCCTCATTTTATCCCTTCCCTGGCTTGTCTGGGACAGGACAGACCATGCACCATAGGGTTTCCCCTTCTGCACACCCTTCTTCAAGTACCAGGCCTCAAAAGATTGTCTGTCTGCCCCTGGCTCCAGCTGCCTGTCCTGGCCACCTCTCGGATCACCCCATTCCCAGCTGCCTCTGGTAATCCATGGCTTTTCTCTGGGACGCCAACCAAGCAAGCTCCCTCTGGCCCCTGGTCAAGAAATTCATAACCCATGACCCAGAATCCGAGGATTCTACTGTGAGTGACGTGTGGGCTTGGGGGACTGCTGTGAGTGACGTGCAGTATGAGGCCACTGACCTTCTAAATGAACACAGCTGTGCCATGGAAACTGGCTGTCACTCCAGAGTTCAAGAGCCTCGAGTTGTCTTAGGTTCCTGTGCTCCCGGACTCCTAAAAAGCAATGGGTATTCAACCCCAGGTACCTGCCGTGGATGACTCCTCCCACGATCCAACTCAGCCGGGCATCCTGGGAGTTTCACTTCATGTTTTGTTTTGCTTCTAAAGCCCAGCCTGGCCCTGAACTCACTACGTAGCTGAGGATAGCTGCCAGCTCCTGATCCCCCTGCCTCCACCTCCCTAGTGCCAGGGTTCGACACCACGCTCGGTTTATGAACCCCAAGGCTTGGTATGTGCTAAGCAAGCAGCCTACCAGCCGAGCCACAACCCAGCCCCTCCTAAAGGCTTCCTAGAGACAGCGTTCCCACTTTAGAACTTTCCTGCCAGCGAGGACAATGTTCCCTTGCCTCTGTATACTGCTAAGATGCTGAGAGAAACCTGCAGTTGTGTTTCACTTGTCTGTTTTCCAAGTTCTCTCCCATCCTCAGAGAGGATGCAAGCACCCAAAACTAGCTGCTCAATGACTATGCCAGCCTCGGGGACACTAAGAGTGAAGCAGAGTCCCTAGCTCCCAGGTGTCACAATCACAGGGGACAGTGCCACCCCAGCACAGCGCGGGCGCTGACATTAAAGCACAGTCCAGGGGGTGGGTTTTGTTGACCTTTCCTATAGAGCAATCCTTGCTATTAAATAATAATCCTGCCTTGCCCTGCACACGGGATGGACAACGTAGGTGTGGGTTTTGCCTCCACTGGGGACAGAGACAGAAAATGAATGAGCAAGCAATGATAACGCAACGTGATCAGAGCTCCCTGGGAAGGAAGAAAGGGCCCCGAGCTCACAAAGTCAAAGCTGAGTCCTGCACGCAGAGCTGAGACAAGGCTCTCCGGAGAGCAGACACTTAACTAAGATGCTAAAAATTCTCAAGAATTGCCACCTGGACCCAGGCCAGAGTTGGAGGATGGAGAGGACTGAACAGATAGGGAAGAGATTGGAGGAAGAATGATGGCCGGTTGGACGTGGGGCAGAGGCTAAAGGGGAAATCCAAGACAAGCAAGCATTCCTAGTGAGAATGGTTTTGCAAGCATCTGCCAGGAGACAAAGCAGAAATACTTGGGGCTGTTGGAAGGAAGACTTGCTTTGCTATAGTCCAGTGTGTACAACCGATAGATAAATGAAGGTTTGCGGCAAGCTGAGGTTACCGGCTGAGGAATGGTGTCACTACAGTGCTATCCATCTCTGAATTCAGTGCAACCAGCTGCCACGCAATGAACTAACGTTAGACGGGAGCAAAGCCTTGCCCTTCCCATTCTTGAGCTGAAGCGGGAGTGTGCCTGGCACACAATAGACGGTTGACGAATAAGGGCTAAGTTCGCTAATGCTGCCTGGCTGGATAACGAATCAGAGGGTATATTCTTGATGGGGCCAGAGAGATGCGTCCGCACTTAAGAGCCCTTGCCACTCTAGCAGAGGATCCAAGTTCAGTTCCCAGCGCCCTCATCTGGACCTCCGATTTCTTCTGACTGGAGGTCGAGGCCTTTCCTCAAACCCACAGGCAGTAGAATTCCCATGCACCTTTGCTTTTGGTTGTGGGCATTCACCTTCATTTTGCCTCTTCTCCCTCCCTCTCAGCCTCTGGGCTAAGGGGTTTTGCCTTCTTGTTAACCTTTTTGGCTATGTATAATCAGTAGGTGAACATCAGGTGGTCATTTCTGTTTGTTTATGGCTGGAAAGCCATGACTGAAACACATGCCTTGTGAGCATGAGGACCCGAGTTCAATC